CCAAAATGGCCTGTTTATTACTTTTAAGGAATATATTACTTTAAAAAAAGACACTGAGCTGAGTACCGGCCATAGAGGGCTGTCCTTGCTGCTGTAAATTAATGCGAAAACGATAGTCTTCAAACCGGTAACCAGCCCCGGTTACGGCCCAGTAACGATCAACCCGGTAACCCAATCGTAACCACCCCCATTAACGACCCCCGGTAACCATCCACCTGGTAACCGGTCTCCGCATACCCCGTTAACGACCTAAATTGCCCGATAACCGGGCAAGTCTATGTGGTAGGGTTTGGTGCTAGCGGTTTCATCCCGCATTGAAGCAGGGTTGCCTGTCTTGCACGTTTTCCAGCGTTGTTCATGTCCTACGTTTATGACTATATTTTATGTATTTAAGAGCTGATTTCCGCCTTGAAATCCTAGTTTTTGCGAAGTTTGATCGACCGGCTTCGGAGGGTACGATATTTCGGGGCTGCGGTCCCTTGGGATACCTTAGAATTTGTACGTGCTACATATTCGTGGTGCCTCCCGAATTATTGTAGCACGAACTATAAGTAGCACTACGGTACACTGAACAACCCCCAGGATATGAGCAAGGGGGCGCTAACATTGCTTGTCACCTACGGCGTTCGTTGTACGGTCTGCGACAGGCTCCGCGCACCTGGTATGCACGTCTTCGGTCGGTGTTGGAGCAGATGGGGTTTAAGCCCTCCACTGCGGATCCTGGTTTGTTCATCACGACGGAGAAGGGTGAGCCCATCTATATTTTGGTATATGTCGATGATCTCCTTATTGCTTGCAAATCGGTTTCTTTGGTTGAACTTATTAAAGAGCAATTGCGTAGCGTGTTCGATATGCGTGATTTAGGGGAAGCCAAGTTTTATCTGGGCTTTGAAATCCATCGTGACAGGGAGGCGCGTACTATTCGCATCTCACAGAAGCGATATGTTGCGGAGGTTCTTTCCAAGTTCGCCATGGAGGATTCGAATAAACGTTCTACTCCTATG